AGTGAGGTTGGGTGGATGAAAGAAACTCCCGTCACTTTTTCCAGTCACGACTGTCTTTAGAGCTGGATGCGTGAATATATGCAATTGGAAAAAAATTATACTTATATATTATACGGGTATTACTGCTGATCAACTGAAAATTATACATTATATATTCTTTCAATCACCAGTTTCACGCACAAATAAAATCAATGTATTAGCACTGCCGCTTTTATCAGAAGGCTGAGACACCAGTCAAGCGAATCCTTACTACATTAACATAATTTTGCTGTCACCCCCTTCAACCGTTTATTTATTTATTTATTTATTTATTTATTTATTTATTTATTTATTTATTTATATCTAACAGAAAACTCCATGGCAACTCAGTCGCAATGTTAGCGTCCAACACCAGTATATCAATGAGCCACTGTCTTGCACGGTATTTACAGGTCGATCAAGGAAAGAAAATCCCAAATAGCGTTTTAATAATAATAATAATAATAATGTTAAATAAGCCTATTAAAAAGTGNTTGTCTGCAAAGTGCTACACGGTAACTAAGATCCAATAAACGGAAAGTGGAAGTGTAGGCTATTTTTACACTTTTCTAAAAGATTTTAATAGATTCTGAATACAACAGCTGTACGCTGTCTTTATAATTTTCTGTTAAATTATTACCTCTCTCTCGTCGGTCTCCCAGCTAATGTTCCACGCCAGAAAAATTCAATAATGTTTTTTATAGCTAACAACTAAGTTATATTTTAATATCTTCAATTTTTCATTTTCGGGTAAATAAAAAGTGGCTTTCATGGGTCACAAATATACCCTAATTAAAGTTTGAAAATGCATAATAACAGTGAATGATTCTTAAATAAATTGACTGGTTAGTGCTGAGGGAACGCATTCGCCCCCTGCTCAGTGTGACGCAGTTGGTTGTGAAAGAGTTAAGCGCCCCCCCCCCTCCTCCCCTCTCGCCCTATCCCGGCTCCTCACCCTGAGCTTCAGAGATAACTTGAAATAAACATCTACACTATGGCATACCCTTGTCGTTTCCAGTTACTTGAAACGGCAAGGGTTAATTGCTACTAAGATCTGAAGTTCAGGGTGCGGCTTTTGCACCTGTGTATCAAAACTATCGTTGGCAGGTTCATCTTCTGCCGGGAGTTGAACAGTTAACGTGATCAACAAATTGTTAGGGAGGGACAGATGGCATAGAGATTATCATGTTATCTGCAAAGTGCTAAACAGTGAAACTAGAAAAGTGGGCTATTTTTACACTCTTCTCAAAAAGCTTAATAGACTCTGATTATGTCAGCTCCACGCTCTCTTTTTATTTTGCTATGGGAGAATTGTACAGGCAATTGACCTACATTCTCCACTGCAGTTATTGGCGCTAGTTTAACAATGTTATGACTTAGACGTGATAACGTGATTCACGCCTTTGATATGAAGGTTTATAATTTATATAAATGAATTAATTAACAGGGCATGTCGATCAAATGATTGGAATTTATGAGTGTAGTGGGACTTGCTATTTACAAAAATGAAAGAAAAACTGTATACGTCTCAAAAACAGAAAAAGAATGCATTTTTCTCTTATATGCAAATTAGATTGCCTGTGGTAATATAAGGTTGTCCGGAAGTCATGTTCACATCAGAGATTTCAAATAGTGGTGATCTTGATCATCTAAGCTATCTTCAATTTTTTTATTTGATAAAAATAATATACATTTGAAGCTACCAAATGTAATTTCCTCCAAGAAATAAAACAATTTCCTTCTCATTATAAATCATTGCTCGAATCGCCCTTCGGATGAATTTTGTAACAGCTGAAAGGCTGAGTAGGGCTTTTGGACGAGAGCCCCGGTAGATATCAATAATCAACTTGATTCTGCATTTATAAAGAATGATCTTGTACTAAGAACTACAGTACCAAGAGAACTGCATTATTGGCCTACAATTAACAGCCATGTTACCTTTGAGCACAGACAAAATACGAAAACAGTAGGAAAAAAAGGGGGGGGGG